ACACTCTGGAAAACCTTTACACCAGTAATTCCTTTAATTTATTTAATTTTCAGTTTCCAAATTATTAGCTGCTTGAGACTGGAACAAGTGATCTGAGAACTGCTAGGGGAAAAATGTCTCATTGTGTGTCTGTACACCAGCTGATTTATATCCACTCACTTCCTGTAGTGTAAAGCCAGTTAAGAACTATAAATATTTCATAGAAGTTTTTTGGGTTTAGTGAGTCCAAAAGCAATTCAAGTCTATCAGCTGAAAAGAATTATATTGATACTGGCTCAGCAGCAATCCTTTTCACAAAAGACTGAAAGATGCTTGAATTTGAGTGCACAATTCAACAACATGTTGATTATACTGAGAGTTGCCTCTCTTATTTTGTATAAATGCAGCTGTAATCAGGTAATTAGGTTCTTTGCTCTCAATAATTTACGTTTTTGCAAAATTTGAGTCTCTAATTTTGGAAAAACATAGGATTTAAAAAAAAAAGTTTCTTAGCTAAACTTGTAATTTGCATTTATTGTGTTGCAAATAGCTTGTGCTTATTAAAAGAGGCATAATGTGCAGCTGTTTCAGTGCATCCTTATGATATACTGTGCAAGGCTTGGACATAAGATGAATAAAGATTATATTCTGAAAAGGGTATTCCCAGGTAACTCATTTATTTCAATCCCTGTGATCCAGATTAATGATAAAATTTAAAATAATTTATCCCACAGAATTTAATGCATAGCACATGCAGGTCAAATTGAAACGACTGCTTTCATATGAAATAAAGTATAGATTTTTTTTTTAAATCTTCAAAAATTTTAAGATGAAGCCAGCTGAATTTCAAAGGTAGTTGTGAATACTATAAATCTCATGGAAGTTCTAAGCAGCTGCTGTTTCTAGATTCATTTGTTTAGGAAACTTGTATAGAAAATTGTCATAAGAGACAACAAGCTAGATTTGATTCAAAGTAGAGAAAAAGTCTTGGGTTTTTTCTTGGAAAGTAGCCCATATAAGTTCACATTAATGGAACATGTCTCCCCTGACATCAGGCTGTGGAATTGACTTCATAATTCAAGTCTGTGGAGAAGATATGAAAGATGCCCACAAAATTATCAACAAAACATTATTTATTAACAAATATAGCCCTCAGTCTTTCTCTACCTATCTCAGTTCCTTGGCTGTCATTCCTGAGAACAAACAGAAGGGTTTATTTTAGTGTTGTCACTTTGCAGAGAGTAGTATGAAATAATTTAATTAATACAGTAGGTGTTTCTGGGTTGTCACCAGAATTATTTCACAATGCAACACTTTTCAGAGCTTGGTGAAATGTCCTTCTGTGACAATAACAGCCATTCATACTCACAGCTATTGTCTCCCACCAGTTTGCAAAACTATGGAGGAATTTATTCTGAGGCTCTAAAACTAGTATTGTTCAACATTTTTGATGGAGCAGATGGCTTGATTGATTTCAGACTTCTGGAGAAGACTGAATGCCTTTTTTCTCTTTCATCAGGTGACTGATTCTGCATGTTGTTATGTGCAGGGCCAGTGTTCTCAGAGATCATAGAATCATAGATGGGTTTGGGTTTGAAGGGACCTTAAAGACCATCCAGTTCCAAGCCCCCTGCCATGGGCAGGGACACCTTCCCCTAGACCAGGTTGCCCAAAGCCCCGTCCAGCCTGGCCTTGAACACTGCCAGGGAGGGGGCAGCCACAGCTTCTCTGGGCAACCTGTGCCAGTGTCTCACCACCCTCACAGGAAATAATTTCTTCCTTATAACTAATCTTAGTCTACCCTCTTTCAGTTTAAAACCATTACCGCTCATTCTATCCCTGCATTCCATGAGAAAGAATCCCTCCCCACCTTTCCTGTAGCCCCTTTAAGTACTGGAAGGCCACTGTAAGGTCTCTGCAGACCCTTCTCTAAGCTGAAAAAACCTACTTCAACAGGTCCATGCCCTTCTTAGGCTGGGGACCCCAGAGCTGGACACTGCAGGTGGGGTCTCATGAGAGCAGAGCAGAGGAGGAGAATCCGCTCCCTCAACCTGCTGGCCGCACTTTTCTTGATGCAGCCCAGGATAAGGTTGGCTTTCTGGTTTGTGAGCACACATTGCTTGCTCATAGTCAGTTTTCCATCCACCAATACTCCCAAGTCCTCTCCTCAGGGCTTCTCTCAATCCACTCATTGCCCAGCCTGTATTTGTGCTTGGGATTGCCCCGACCCATGTGTGGGACCTTGCACTTGGACTTGTTGAACTTCATGAGGTTCACACAGGCCCACCTCTCCAGCCTGGAGGGTGCACTCGGTCCCACTGTCCATGTCTCCAACAAAGATGTTAAACAGAGCCAGTCCCCACACTGAGCCCCAAGGAACACCACTTGTCACTGCTCTCCACTTGGACATTGAGCTGTAGTGGTCCATTCATCAAATCCATGTTTCTCCAATTTAGATACAAGGATGTTGTGTGGGCAGTGTCAAATTCTTTGTACGAGTCAGTTGCTCAAATACATACTAGACTCCATGTGTAAGGTCAGCCAGAAATATCGCAAGCGTACATTCAATGGGCTAACAGGTGTTTCAGGAACCTCCAGATGTTGAGCAATGGCAGACACAAAGTCCTTCATCCGGGAAGGACCACAGTGTTCATCAGTGCTGGTCAGGGACTGACTGGTTTGGGAGCAGCTCTGCAAAAGGGGCATGAGTTCCTGGTGGACCAGTGAACCTGGATTCAGCTGTGTGCCCATGCAGTGGTAAAGGCTATATTGAGGACAAGTGCTCATTTCCCTCTGCCCAAGACTTGTCAGTCTGAATCTAGAACAGTGTCCAGATTTAAGCCTGCAATATGGAGATAAAAACCAGAGAGAATCCAGCAAAGGGCCTCTAAGACTGTTAAGAGCCTAGAGCACCTGCCCAGAGACCCTGGCCAGTAATGCCCAGGCTGGTACCTGTGAGCAATTGCACAGCAAAAACGGACAGGACTTTCTGTCTGACCCTGGACCAGCTGTGACCTCTCTTCTGGGAAGGGAAGGTTAAACACAGAGAGCATAATGCTGGAGGGGGAGCGAACTAGTGTGGGAGATAATCTAATCTCACTGGTTCTTCAATATACGCCTGTATCCAGATCCAATGTGTTTTGTTGTTTGCTCCGTCTTACCTGTTGTACATCTCTGCTATACACCTACCTACATTCCTGATCTGTGGTTTCATCCTCTGAGGAAACAGAGCAGCTCGTGTGCAAAAATCCTCTGGCCTGAGATTTAAGCATAAACTCTAGCTGTCACCTTCTTTAACTGGCCAAATAATATTATTTCTTTACTCTTGTACATAATGAAAACAATTTATCCAGAACCACTAGTTCTAAAATGGTGCAAAAGACAAACTAAATCATAGACTAAAGCATCAATCACCTTGCAGTGATGCCAGCAAATTTCCATAGATCCTCCTGACAGCAACTACAGGTATTCTCTTCAGCTGCAACACTCGTGCTACTATAAAAATCAATAGTGATACCCACTAGATTAAAAGATGAGGCAGAATATCCCCTATAAACCTTTGAAAGGCATGTTATTTTTCTCGTAGGCTTTTCTATAACTGCATCTGCTTTCTACCATCTCTGAGAAGGGAGTAAAGTTGGATTACTTGAAGTAATTTTGGCAGTGTGTAGGGATGCAACGTCAGTGGCTGTTGTGGACCAGCAGTGCCATCCAGTGGACACCCCGCGAGCTACAGCTCCACACGGAAGGCACGGGGAAGCGAAGGGTCCCCGCTGCCGCTCCCACTTGAAGCCTCGTGTGGCCGCCCAGGGCCGCTCCGTCAAAAGGAACGACGAGACACCCAGCAAGTTACAGGGACTCTGTCAGGGTGCTGCTGCTGCCTCCTTTGTCCTGAGAGTTTGGCAGGTGCCCTCACGTACCGCTTTGGAGCTGGCAGCAGGCACTTTTGTTACTCTAAGTTTCAAAGACTTGAAAATGAGCAATCCACAACCACTTTTTTTTGTGGGAAAGCTGCTCACGGGAAGCTACAGTAATTGAGTTTTCATATGAATCACATGTATTCTCACTTTAACCTTTTATTTTGTGAGCACTGTTTAGATAAACATCCTGCCTCGGCAGGCAGAAAAGAGATTTTCTTTCTTTTACTGTTAGAATCTTCCATCCCTAGGGGAGCAAGATTTCTGGGATCCAGATCCTAATGGCTTTATTTCTCACAAACCCATCACAGTTACATTTACTGTGATAAATACAAATCCAAATATTTTTTTTAATTGGGATTTTTTTATATTAAAATGTTTAAAAATACATTTTAGTGAAGTTCTAATATTCCACATCCAAATAATTTTGAATTTGTAACAATTTAAGTCCCAAGCTTGATTGACTTATCATGCTTCTTATGCTTAATTGACTTAAACTCAGCAGACTCGGGCACTGAAATAGTAGGAAGTGGTTTAAGTGAAATCTAAAAGGTAGTGCTAAATGCAATCCACAGTGCATCTCTACAACTATTTGGCATATGAATTCTCGGCAAGGCTGGTTGTCTCTTCCATAGCATACCTCTGTGCATCTCAGCTGTTCCTTTGCACAGCGCACAGGTTCATCTTCTATGCCTATACTGTACCACAGTCCTCAGTCATGTAAGCTACCTTGCCACAGCTCTGCAAGTCCTATAATGCTGGAACTCTGTGGCTACATGGACTTCTAATTCCCATTGTTTGTTTCCTAGATTGCATCCTTAAAACTTGTTAATTCTTAACTCTTTATGTTATTCTATCTAAGCTAATATAACATGTTCTTTAAGAAAAATTATATTCCCTACATTATTCTGACATTTTAAAAGGACAGTGAATTAATATCTGATAATTAAAGAGATAATATACAGTAACATTGTTCATTAATGACTAATGATGGCATGATGATTTGTTACCTGCTCTGACAGCATGGCTGCAGACATTGTGTTTGTGTGCACACATGCAGGGGGGCTTAACACATACATAAAGACTGTAAATATTATTTTAAGAATAATTTATTCCCTATGAAGAAAGTAGAACAAGGATCTTGCATTAAAAAAACGTATTTGCAGTAACTAACATAGCAACACATTGCTGCACTCAACCCTCTACAGACAGATCACTACAGAATTATGACTAGCAGGAAAGTCATATACATCCAGTCATAAAGTGTGAAACTTCCCCCAGATATTCAGAAATCTTTTGTGTCTTCTCTATTTTAAAGGGCAAAGCACTTAAAAAAATAGATAAACTACATAATTATGATAGCTTCCCATGGATTTTCCCTTGAAGATCCCATATGACCTGATTAGAAGACATACAAAAATGTCTAGAAAGCTGAATTAATTGTGCATAAAGATGAAAAAAAGAGACACTTCCTGTGTCTGTTGAAGTTCATTTAAAAAAAAAAAAAAGGTCTTGAATGGAATGTTTCTAACATAGCTGTGTTGAGCATCACACACATATAGCAGATTGAGGGCAGTTGCAGCTGAATGTGCACCATGTAATCATTTATCTAGGTACCAAGAAAAAATTGTGAAACTATGGCATTTCCGGTGCGTGGGGGGGAACCGAACAGAACAAATACATGCATAGGCAAGAAATCCAAGGGAAATTTCTGATCTTTCATCCAATAATTAAGAAACATTTAAAAGGTGGAAGACTAGGACTATATGAAATTACATCAATATAGAAAATGCAATTCCAGCTCTAAAATGTTGTTTCCCTTTTTATAAAAATATTTGCAACTGTGTAGAAAATTTCAAGCCAAGCACACTTCACATCTGCAAATGGCCACAACTATTTGAGTAACTGACCGATCCTACCTATTTGATAAATGTCCTGAAGTAACAATTCAACATTTATTCATGACACCAGAGGTATGTCCAGTTCAAGCTAGTAATTTCACTGCAATAGAAAGCAAAAGATACTGAAGTCTTTAGTGGGTTGATCAATAAATAAGATCACAAACAAGAAACAGCCAATCCATACACAGTAGTTTCTTTGCTTCTGGGCTGACAATTCTCCTGCAGGCGCTATTTCTGGTTTAGGCAATGTCTCTGGAAAAAACACAGGGGAATTTAATCTTTTGAAGGACATACTGTCTTTCTGTCACCTTACTACTGTACAGCATACAGTACATTTTCTTTGGTTGGGAACCATCATTGCCAAGATCTCCACTGAACATACTTGTGTGATGCATGCCACAGGGCTGTGCTGATAAACTAAGCTAGTGTTAGATATATTTACAGAACATATTAGATTATCAGACATAGTGAGAAAAGATCACGCCCTAAAGGCTCCAGCTTGAAAGAAAGAAAAAAATTGAAACACCCAGATTGTCCCCCCAGACTCCTTTATCGGCTGCTGAAATCTAGACAATCCTACTTGCACTCCTAATTCAGGACTAAAGTTGGAAGAATGTTAATTATTGAAGTATATGCAGTGAAATATATGCAGCTTTGCCTTTTACATCTCCCTTCTGACAGTGCTGTCAGGACAACATTCTCACTTCCTCCAACTGCAAAACACCAAAGTCTCTATACATTAAAACAATGTACAATTACATTATTGTGCATTTTTACAATTTGCTTCTTCCAGGAGCCACTCAATTCCACTTAGCAATCCATCTAAAGTTGCAGCTACAGTGTCCTGCACCTGTAAAAATCAAAAAAGCTAATGTATTAGAGATACAGGTAACAGGATCTAACAGCATTTTAGTATCACTCGATGTCTATCCTTGAAGACAGAAATACTGATATCAAACCTAAATCTGTATCACTGGTTTAAAGGTCCCTTAGACAGGAAAGGTTTGAGTAAGGTACAAAACTAAAACACTACTCTTTCCAAAATGAATCCTAAGACCTACTAGGAAAGCCTTTTAGTATCAAGGTAAATTTTACCTTAATCATTGCATCAGCTGTTCTGGAACATTATACTTACTTTACAGATGCGAATCTACTTGAAAATTCTTCTCATAACTCTTAAAGCAGAAATGCTGATGGCTTCAGAATTCAATGCATATTAGTAATTCTTAGATTTTGTAACATATTATAAAGCAGCTATTATAAATGCTGTGTTTTTTAAAAACCCTGTAAACTTTTTCCTTATGAAAACAAAGGACTTATCTAAAATCAGAATTTTGTTGTTTCTGCTTAAGTACTATTCTTAGGCCACGCAATGTCACCAAAATTAATGTGTGTCTGAACCATACTGATACCATGCTTGACAAGCATAAAAGAACAGGTTCAGGATCTCATGTGCTGCATAAAAAACTGATTTGTCAAAAACTCAATACATCACATCAAGTAAGTAACAATTAAAAGTCTTCTGAAAACAGCAGAAAAATCAGGGTTGTGGGTCATGACTCAGGAAATACAGATTTAAATTAACTGAAGTTTCCTCACTCCCTTCAAGACTGGCATTTTGTCCTTCCTGACATTCTGGCTCCACCTGAAGTTTCTTGAGTGCTCCTGGGCAAGCCACTTAGCTCCCCTATGTTCAGAAAGGCTAATGCTTCATCTCAGAGGAGCAGAGAAACTAAATTCTCCACTTTGGTGGAGAGCTCACATACCAGTTTTCAAAGACGTACACTTGCTTAGGTAAGTACAGCTCAGGAACTACCATATGCCTGAATTAAATTTAAGCCACAGAGAAACAGAAAATAAAGGTTTAAAAGCAAGTACCATCCAAGGCTGACGTAGCAGATTGAGTTGCAACTGATGTGCCACGTAAACACATGGAATTCTTTTCACACCAACGTGAGAGACACAAGACAAAACTAGGAGAGGTCTGTTTGAAGGCCCAAGGGCTGGATCAATCATTGCCAAAATACGAGCTAGTTCTTCTTGACGATCATGCTCTATGAAACAATCATTAATATGTTAGTATTAAATATATGCAAATCCCAAAGAGAATTTTTTTTTTTTTTTTTTTTAACTTTTCAAATATTTAAGATTTCAGAGATAAGGAAACATAGGGTTGGAAGGGACATCGCCAAATTATCTATTTCTGCTTATCACAAGGCTGGATCATCTGCATTCATGCCACGCAGATACTCATGTCACACTTAGATGTTATTTAAAGAACTCTGTAGATTCTACAGGCAGCCCATTCCAGTCCTTAACATCAGAGATTTTTGCAAGTACTTGACAGAGATCAAAACTGCAACAAGCCATTAAGAAATACACTGTCCCATCAGCAGCCCTTCTCTACTGACCATCCTCTTATCTTCAGTATATCCCTTCACATATTTTGCACTTTTCTGAGCTAGCCCCTTCCCTCCATTTAGTTGATGACCATAAAGATAATTACTGTAATAGGTATTTGCATTATCCTTATTAAACTATCCTGATTTGGACTAATTGCATCTTTTACTGCAGTTTTCCTGGTGAAGGTTCTATTTTCAGGCTATTACACCACCACCAATGCATTTCAGGCTGTTTCTTCTACCCATGGTTTTGTTTTTTTGTAAATCCAGATCATTTCCCACGTGTAGTTTAGAGAGCAACCATATCAGTACCCGCCATAAATGAAAGAAGGGGCCATAACCCCTCAAAGGGAGATGAGGGAGAGTGTCTAGGACAGGGAGCCTCTTTGACTGGGTAAGCCATGAATAAATAGCACTAATAAAGCAGATTTTTTTTAAATCAGAATGTGGATTTTTTTATGTATTGCATATTCTTTGCAATATTCTATGACTGTCAAATCACTCAAAAAATACGAATAAATAAAGAGAAACCCCTTACTTTTATGAGCTTCTGCATTAGCAACGTAAATGAATCCATCAACTACTTCGCACACCTTTTTCACTTGAGCTATTACACTGTAGTGCACAGCTTGCTGATTCCCTACTATGCTGTTTTCTTGGTAGAACATCTTATTCACAGCAACAGCTTGCTCTGCCCTTGCTCTCCTCCTTTCCACACTGAAAGATATTTTATTTCAGTAGTCAGTTTAATTGAGAACGCAAAAACTCAATTTTGAGTCTAGGCAGCAAAGGAAAGGAACATGAAAATGGCCCGGGTCAGCAAAAGTGTTTCATTTCCCACCAACCCCTCCCACACACCCCTCTTTTCTAGTGTACATATACAGATGGTTAGCAATCTGCAAGATGTACATGAAAATACACCCCAGGATGAATTTATATAGTGTTTCAAAAGGGAATCAACCAAGGTATCAAGGAAGGACAGAAAAACCTGTTATCTGTCATACACACTCCTATGTATAAGGTTTGGAAAAGGTTTATTACTTCCATGTGAAAATTTAGCAGTTGGAGAAAAGTGAAGAGATGCATTGAAGCTTCAATATAAAAGGGATATCCATGCATGTGAATGAACAAATAAAAATCACATGACAGAAACATGAAGAAAAGTATGAAATAACCAAGAAACTCTTTTTTTTTTCTGGAAAATGAATCTTACCTGGTGGTTGAATACAATGTCAGAATATTGAATTTTTGATTGTTATTAAACTGAAAACTGACTCCTGATCCAATTCCTACGTGGGAAAAAATGAATATATGAGATTACAACTATTTGGTTACTGAATACAAGTAAGTGATAGGCTGAAAATTCCAGTGGTGTTATACAATGGATATATCCAAGCCTAAGTGTTCCTGTTAGGGGTAGCAGATTTATTCTTTTACAATGAAATTTTACACATGCTCTAATTGATCAGACTATTAATTTAATCAAAATCAATTCAACAGTATTAAAAGAAAACAAGGCATTTCCATAGTTCTGATACTTAAGACTTGAACCTTGAAATCCAAGTCAAAGAGGAACGAGACTTGTATTTATTAGAAATTGGCACAGCAAAGACTCTAGGCTGTTTATGACAAGCTGCCCTGAAAAGGACATAATAGAAAAAAGATAACACTAAGAAATCATATTTTCACACTTTCTGTAAATACAATTTAATTATTCTAATTCTGCTGGGCTGAAATAAACTTTAGTTATAATAAATGCTTTTAAACATTGGAAAAAAAAATCCTTTCCCTGCTCCTGTAACTATTCCAAATGTAACTTATACCATTTGATACCACCAGACTGAATGATACAAATGACCAGTCTTGACTTCCCGTATAAAAACACAGGAGTTTTTAGCCACTTGCTGCAAGCAGTATCTAAAGAAAGTTGTCTGCGTTTATCCATTATGACAGCAGGTGTAACATGGAATTTAGGATCAAAATACAAGTATGAGGAGCAAAATGATCCCTTCGACGTGGTGCAAATTTAGTCATAAATTCACTGCAGCTATAATTTTATCCCAAATGTCCACTGCATTTATTTCTTTGAATACAAAGAGAGAAAATATATGTTGGGGTTTGTTAGCATTATGCCACTGAGTTTCAAGGGGAGAAAAAAGCATTCATTTTCTCCATTTCTCCCACCAATTTTTTTTGTGTGTTCTATCTGTTTATGAAATAAAAAAGCCAAAAACCGAACAGTATTACCATGAATTTGCCTTTGGGGTAGGCCAGCTACTAGCAGAATTTCTGGGCACGTCATCATCTTTTGCACTAAAGAGTCATCCAGCTCTTCCAAACCCGGCCCAAACATAGCAAAGCGAGGTTCTGCCTGAGTGACCAGCGATTGCAAAAAGGAAGTCACAGTCCCATACCGGGGACGGCTTGATTTCAAACTTCTTCTACTCTGAGGACAGCTTTTTTTATATCTGTGTAAAATAGACGCAACTAGAAATTAAACACAAAATACAAAAGAGGTATTAACCAACAACATAAATTGATTTAGGTCCCATACTTCTCAGGCTGTTACCAGTACAACTCAAGGACAGGTCAAAAATTGTAAAGCTCCAAACTCATGGTTTCAAGCACCAATACAAAGCAGGCAGAGGCATCAGCCCTCTCAAAATCCAAACACTGACTCTTTGGACCTTAGTAACTTCTATCTATGGATCTTTTAGTTCACTTAGAAAACAAAATAAAATAAAATTACAAATTCCCCCACCCTTGCTGAACACACAATACTGGTAAAATAACATCAATGCTTATGAGTCACATACAATATGAAAAATATGAGAATTTTGAGTGCATTTCAAACCTCCACTAGAGCTCTGCTGTGTTTAACTATGAAATGGGTGCTGAAAAGGCCCATTTCCCTTGCAGGCACCGAGAATACCTGTTGCAAAGGGAGACAAGTGGTGTCTACAAGCCCACATGCCTAATTGATGCAGAAGCTAGAAGGCATGAAAAGACTTTGGGAACCAAGGAAAAGTAACAGTCATAGAAGTGACAAGACATCCCAGAGAAGCAGCTTCAGTCTTTGTCCTGTGGTCACGGTAGGCTGCTGTTGGACAGTACACTTCAAGGAAACATTAAACATGTGCTCCTCTACACCCAAGCTGAGACATGTCAGTCGAGATCAGCAAAACCATCAAGTGCTCACAGACACAATGGAAACCAGTGACAGGTGGTTTTACATAGCTGATGCTCTGAAGTATTCAGACCTAAAGTGATTTAAAACTGATGTTCAAAATCAGGAGATATTTTGCACTTCAAATTCGGGTTCCATTCTTCCCATCTGTAAAATGGGGATTAAGGGTATAGAAATTGCAGAGGTTAGTGCACTTATATGAAGCAACAGTATCATTAAATCATCTCTGGAGAATTTAACTGCAAATTAAAAAAAAAATACTGCAAATTAATTATGAGAATTGAATGAAGTTTAAAATAAACCCTCAGAATAATCTGCTTGTGTTCTCAGTCATCCAAACATGAGTGTTGCTGTTTTTCAACTATAGTAGCTGAAACCAGTCTTTGTTTTACAGCTTTCGACCACCAGAGCTAACTACTTGTTATTCTGTGCACAAAAAACCCTTTTTTTTTCTTCCCCTAGGTCTTCCAGGTAAGATGAAAAAAACAAAGCTTCATTCCATTTGCTGTAGTTTGAAGATTCCTTAGTACTTTTATTAGAATAAGAAATCATTTGCCATTGTACTGAGAGCAAAGAACACATTTTTATCAAGATCAAAGGTACACACAGCTTCTGAGATGACTGTACTTCTGTGGCACAGTAGACATGCAGATTACAAAAAGCTTTAAGTTTTCTATAACATAAGCTTTGACTTTTTTTTACAACGTTTTACATATTTGCTGAATTCCAAACAGAAGAGCTGATCAAACTGCCAAACAGGAAATTGTATTTCTAAAATAAACACTGGATCTGACACACATCAATATTTAAGCAGTGGCTGACAGCACAGCATTATTGTTGTAAATATAAAACATGTTTGTGGGCTGAGTATTACTGCTGTAGAGAGAGCTGTGTAAGAGTATGAAGATACTTACGCTGCCATGTAATCGTACAGCGCATTATCGCTGACCTCTGAAAAGGCTTTATTAAAAATCTCCACATCTGGGAGTGATTTCCAATCAACGGATGTCCAAAAGGGAAGATCCCTGAGGAGAAAATACCTCCACAACAACGGATCTTGCACAGCCGCCCTCCAGTAACAACTCGTGCTTCCCAAATGGCACAAATCTTGGGGCGAGAGGAATGACATGATGTTCAGCTGCACGTCGATCTGAAAACCGTCGAGAGCAGCGGTTCAGCGACTCAGGAATTAAGCAGTGAAGATGCTAGAAGCGGGATGCCGAGATTTATCCACCCCCTACCCCCTCTCCACCCCTGTTCCCCGCGACCGGGCCCCGCTCACCGGCAGCGCTTGCAGGGCGCTCACCTCCTCCGCGAGCGCTGGACGCGGGG